TTAGCAAAGCGCCGAAAACACTTGCCTTTTCGTGCAAGCGTGCATCGTCAGCGCAGCGTGCCAAGCGCTAGGATCCTTAGAATGACTTATGTATGCCTTTTCTAGTAAAAAGAAAGACATATAGAATATTGGTGTGCTGTTATGGTGCCCCAGATATGCACACTAATTGCCTGTTAATTGACAATCACACAAGTATGAACGCTAAATCTTGAGCAATATTGGTGGGCCCTGTGGATGGGGTCGGCCGTTTGGAGTATCATTTGGTGCCGTTTAGGACATCGTTAAGGGCGGACAGACAAATGTACAGACAGGCAGACCAAAATTTTTGCGTCAAAGGTCCCCAAGAAAGACTATCGTCTTTAATAACGGTTAACGTTTGCTACTCCCCACACTCCTTCACTGCAATGACCTCAAAACATGGCGACCATGCTTCTGGATGGCACCATGCAAAAGCATGGATCTAGAAAAGCAGTTTTCATTACATCGCAGAAACAATAATTTGGGAACACAAACATGGAAACTGGTTATAAACCAATGAATGAGCTAAATCAAGTGGCACATTTTCTATGAAACTTTGCCAGTTGTCTCTCACAATACAAATAGTCCAAAGGACTCTTACATCATCAGTCATGGGCTTCTTGGGTGGGCTGAAATATTCATTGTAAGTACGCCCACTGGGCAAGTGTGTCAGTCGGCCAGTGATCCTTTTCAAGAGCAAGCCGTCATCAATTCCAAACTCTATCACAGAGTCTAGAGGGGTATGCCTCTTCTGTAGCATTTCATCAAGCTGTCAGGAGATTAAAAAAAAGAAAAGTGATAAGCACTATGAGCAATATCATTAGAAAATTATGCAATGGCCACCAGAAGTGTATGGAATTCAAACAAAGACAGTGAAGCAAAGGGGAAAACAATGCTGAATACCTTTTTTTTTTAATCTAGAAGTAGCAAGGTGAGGAGATATGAAAGTGGATGGAAAGGTGATTTGAGATAGGCAGCTCTGCGCCATGTGCTCTCCACCATTCCCATGGCCAATGACAAATTCTAACGCCAAAAGTTCCTTTTAGTAATTTTTAGGAGGTCTACACTTATAGCGCTAGATAAAAATTATAGCTGCCACCTGTATCATTTCAGGAATTCCCAGACAAGACCCCTCCTGAATGCTACTGGCCTTGGCATTTTGCTTTATGTAGCACTTAACTGCAACTCGATTGGGATAGAGTGTGCTAATATTTCCAGCATTGCCTCTTGAATCATTGCAGGATTGGTGCACTTAAATTTGGATGAAGTTATGAATTGTGAAGTGTGGAAAATAAGCTGCCATAAGCAATGTGTGTTTGTGGTCCCTGTCAAGTTATGCACCACTATGCAACTTGAAACATAAAAAAAAGACCTTCACAAAATACAGCCATCTGCCTGTCCACATGGCTGTTGCTACACCCAACTGCACAGAAAAAAAAACAAGCGCTTGTATTTTGTGACTGCATGGCTGATGGGGAACCCTCACACCTTTACTGCTGAATTTCTAGGATGTAAAACTATTTTGCATCAGCTTTCTCAACATATCAGACCAGCATGCGCAAAATAGAAACCATGAACTTTACTTTTGTTCAGTACTTACCGTATAATTCCGAACAAGCACCCCCACCCGTACAAGCACCCCCCCTTCACTCTAAACTTCACTGGCAATTTCAAATATTTGCGCCGTTCCAGAAAAGTGCACCCTGCCCCAAAACCAATTTAAACCTGCTTTGCACTGCAGCCCGACTGCTCGTTGCTTTGTGCCATTCGTTGCTTTGTGTTTGCGGTGAGAGGTCAGCTATGCCTATGAAATTCCACACAGTGGTGAAGAAAATAGAGGTTTTTAGATGGCATCGAGAAAATGAAAAAAACATGTAACAGACGTTTCGAAATTTAAAATTTAAAGCTTGACCGAAAGCGGATAAACGAGTGGGGTAAGAATTTCAATAATGTCCTGCAGCTAAACAACGCGAAGGCAAACTTAAGCTTAGTAACAGCGCACCAGTGTTCAGCGAATACGTGAACAATGCGCTCTTCGAGTACCTTGAGCGCTAAAGAAGTGCAGGATGTGCCGTCAGCAACCGAATTCTTTCCAAAGAGGCCGTCATAATCGCCAACAGCATGCAGCTGGGAAACCAGGCGCCTATCCATAAGGCACAAGTCGCCGCAAATGCCTTCGAGGAGTACGACACAGACATGCTTTACGTGCCTGCGGGGTGCAAGCATCCTGCAGCATGCTCATGTGTAATGTAATATAAGCCGCTCAAGTACACCTTGCGGCATTTGTGGGAGCAGTATATGCATAAAGATGCACGAACACTGAAAGAAAACTTGAAGAAGCCGTCGCGGCAACATCTGCTCGCTTTTGTTGCCGAGGCGTGGGCCAGTGAACCTGAGATCACAGTGGCACTGTCCTTCAAGAGATGAGACATTAGTAACGCGCTAGACGGCCTGGAGGACGGTGACCTGCACAGCGGGCTGGCTGATGTTGGAGGTATAGTGCCAGAAGACCGTGGTGGACTTCAAGCGGAATGGGTCTGTTTTTCACAACTGACTCAGAGGAGTGTTTCGATGGTTTTAAAAGTGATTAAAACCTACAACAAATCCCGGGCCTAAATAGTGCTCACTGTAATAAAATTTTAATCCATGTGAACTGTGTTCTTCCTTTCCTGGTGCGAAAATCTTGCTGCCATCTTGAATTTTGGTGCCAATGACGAAGTAGCCCCACTTCCCACTCCCCCGCTGGCATTTCGACTTCTTGGGGGGGATAGGGTGGCACTTGCTCAGAATTTTACAGTAAAGTAAGACAAAGCTTAAAAAATAATTCGCAGCAGCAAGAGCAGCCCACCGCTCTCTCCTGTTGCAGCAGCCTATTTTTACGCTCATTTCAGGATTCCGATCACTGGCGTAATCAGGGTGAAGAGTAGGTGATGAAAGGGAGTTTAAATCCCCCTAAAACCCCCCAATATGCCCCTGAAATTTTGTTTCGCATGTCTGTACATACACATGTGCATAAAAATACACAAACATACATGAAAGGTTGTTGATGACTCTCAGTCCCTCTACGAATAAATGTTTTGGCTACGCCACTGCCTCCAATTTACGCCATCTTGTGGGAGCTTATTGTACTTGACGTGAGCAATTAATTTTTTTCATGCCACCCATACCAGCTGCCACCAGCTGCATTCCCCATTCCTTAACAGGTATTCCGTCGCTCTTGTTCACTATCGGCTATTCATCCTATGACCAATGCACGCTAAACCAACCAGGTCCTCCATCCATGCTTTTCTAGATTTCGCTAATGAACTTGGCCTGGTCCAGTGCATAACATGAAGAAAGGAAATTGTCGAGCCAGTCAACATAACGAGACAGATCACTCTGTTCTTTTGTGTTGGGCAGTTCTGCTTTCCTGTCACGTGCTGGACCAGTTCACACATGACAAACCAACATGCCCAATCTTCAACACAGATGCATAAGCAAATCACCAGGGAACTGCAGCAAATACATGCACACTGATATTTATTCAAGTGTCTTATACAACTGCAGCAACATACCTTCTCTGCCTGAACGATGGTGCGAGGAAACCCATCTAGAATGAAGCCATTTTTGCACTCTGGCTTGTCCAAATTTTTGGCCACCATGTCAATGACCACCTCATCGCTCACCAGCTGCCCACTTTCAATGGTGGACTTCAGCTTCTTGCCCAAATCGGAGCCCGAACTGATCTCATTACGTAGCAAGTCCCCTGGAATGAAATTACGAGTGGACGTACAATAAGAAATCACATGGCGTGATTCTGAGTCTCACTTCGATCTATGTGTGCCCAGACCCTACCATATAATATAGATTTTGACGAGTTCATGTTGTTGCATATTTGTGAGTGTTAGGAAACGAGACAGGAACGCACGGGAGGTTGAACATCCGGCACGTCTGCGTGACCGATGCATCGTTCTTCGATGTCCGTAACACGCAAAAAATCTTGGGAATTGAATGCCGACATGCGGGACGAATACATCCTACGTATTCTTGATATGCCCCCGCTATTCGCGCTTCTCTCCCTTCACAGAATTAAGTTTCACAACTACTACAAGGCAGACTAGCATACGTGATAAGCGGTTGAGGTTGAAGAATAAACTGGTCAACAGTTACTTCTCGATACGCTTCACGATCTGAAAGACAGCGATGAAGTAGAGCCACGCAACAATTGAGTGCGATTCATATTACTGGAAAACACGCGATTAGCAGTGCAAAACGAGAATATATTTTGTGAGCAAATTCATGCTTGGCGCTCTCTGGACTTACCGGTAGCCAAGTGGCAGACGCAGTATTCTTCCTTGATCTTGGGGGACTGTGGTAAAAGAATGGTGCGTGATTATCTAAACAACAGCCAAGACTAGTCAATTGCACCTACCTGTGTGCCCTTGCCACATCCCGGTGGTCCGAGGAGAACGACATTGATGCCCGTGCGGTGCCTGTTCTCGTTGGGCACGTAGCTGCCGGCGTACAGATGGTTGGAATCTTTGCTGTTCTGTGAAGGAGCCATGTGTGGCGTATGCGAGGCTCCCTAGGCGATACTTTAGTCGGAATGATGGTCCCCAGCGGCGAGTCCTAATTGCCCCGGGGTCGGCAGCAAATGCTGATCAAGCCTCGCACAGACCGACCGGCCTCGCACAGGTCGCACCACCACGTCGGGAAAGGGCGATGAAGTCGGTGCGCGAACACAGTAGCACTTGGCCGTCGCAGGGAAGATAAGCGCACAATAAAGTAAAGACAAAGAAAAAAAAGAGAAATGCTCACGAATTTACTCCTTGCGGCACCATGGCAAATGAGGACCAGTTTGCTTACGTAAACAACGTCACCATAGCAATTATGCAATTTGGGCAACCAATCTATAGCTAAAAAAAAAATACCAGAAACTATCATCATCAGCTACATATTTGTCGCTTTCGCCAACGTATTTCCGTTTCCGTCGAGTCGCGTGCTGCTGCTCTGATGCCGAAGCTGCACGTGTAGGCCGCAGTCAAATTGTTTTGCTAGCTGTCAACAGCTGAAACATTTCAGCTCCCTACAAAAGCGGCTTTTTTTTTCATCGAGGCGGCTGAATAGGGCCGTGACACGTTCTGAGGTGTCACTTGCGTGATTCCAGCTATGCCGAAAAGGTCAGTTGTCATCCAGTCCAAGGCGCGATGGAAACCCGTCGAAATAGAGCCCTCAACTGTTCAAAACCTAGAATGCGAGGGCTTCTCGGGCATCGAAGAGCTTACGAGCTACGACATCGTGCGTCAGGACGACTCTTCAAAGCGATCTACCCATACGCCCGACAAGCCTACCAAGAAAAAGAAGCGAAAGCGAGCGCGCAAGCCGACGGCAACTAGCAGCGGCGGCTCTGGTGCATAAGAACGCAGAAGCTTCAACGACAGTAAATGGTGATGATGCAGGAAGCGACGACGAAGATGTTGAGCATTCGCACGAAAAAAAGCTCAAGTGTGACGGCCCAGACATGTCTGCGTGGCTCAACTGCCACGTTCCGGAACCGGTGTTGCGAGCGCTGGCCGAATTGAAATTCACCGAGCCCACTGAAATACAGGCGCAGACATTGCCAGCCGCCATACGCGATCACTTGGACATCATGGGCGCAGCGGAGACCGGCAGCGGCAAAACACTCGCGTTCGGCATACCCCTTCTGCACCACATCATGGAGCGCAAATCGCGACTGTCCGCGGAAGGGCGAGACGAAGGCAATGCCTCTCCAAGCTCTGGTCTTGACTCCCACGAGAGAGCTCGCCATTCAGGTGACGCGGCACATTCAGGATGTGGCGAAATACACGAACGTTCGCATCGTGAATGTCGTCGGAGGACTTTCGGCAGAGAAGCAACTGCGACTTCTCAAACGCAAGCCCGAGATCGTGGTAGCCACACCTGGTCGACTCTGGGAGCTCGTCGACCAAGGAGCGCCCCACGTGTCGGACGTGAGCAAAGTCCGGTACCTAGTTATTGACGAGGCTGATCGCATGGTTGAAAAGGGTCACTTCGAAGACCTTACGCGCTTGCTGGACGTTATGAACGCACCTTATGAAGATGGTGAAGAAAAGCGCCGGCGACAAAATTTCGTCTTCTCGGCGACTTTGACCATGGTTCACGACTTACCGAAGCGTATGAAAAACAAGCCTAAAAAACACAAGCTGTCTGAAAAGGAAAAAGTTGAAGAGCTGATGCGCACCATCTGGTATAAGTTCAAAGCCAAAAGTGGTTGACTTGACCCGGAAACTTGGAACTGCTGAGTCACTGTGTGAATCGCGAATTGTATGCCCCTCGATTGGAGACAAAGACAGTCGGCTATATTATTTTCTTTTGGCACATCCGGGGAGGACATTGGTGTTCTGCAACAGCATCGACAGCGTGCGGCGTTTAGTGTCTGTGCTGGACCTGCTTGAGCGGTCTCCCCCTTCCACTGCATGCCTCCATGCAACAAAGGCAACGACTCAAAAACCTCGACCGCTTCAAGAATAACCCATCCGGTCTTTTGCTTGCCACAGACGTGGCAGCGAGGGGCCTTGACATTCAGGGTATCCAACATGTCATTCACTTCCAAGTTCCGCGGACTGCCGAAGTTTACGTGCACCGCAGCGGTCGCACGGCACGGGCCAGAAGTGGTGGACTAAGTGTGATGCTCATGGAACCAGGAGAGTTGCACTTGTATCGCAAGATATGCAAGACTCTGAACAGGGACGAAGACCTTCCAGGACTTCCCCATCGACCTGAGCATGCTGAAAGCGGTGCAGAAGCGTGTCGACCTGGCCAGAAAGCTTGAGGCTGAAAGTCACAGGGCTCGACGGACCAGCTACGAAGACAACTGGCTGCAGCGTGCCGCAAAGGAGATGGAGATAGATCTTGACGAGAGAATGCTTTCAAATACCGACGAGAAAAAGAAGGCAGACACGAAACGCAAGCTTAAAGCGATGCAGTTTCAACTTTCCGAGATGCTGAAGAAGCCTCTGTTCCCTCCTGGTTTCTCGGGGAAATACTTGACTAAGCAAGGAGCCTTGGAAGTGCCTAAGGTGCGCATGGATGATGCAGCACTGGAAGCCATGGAAGAATGGAAAAAGAAGAAGAATGCCATGGTTTCCCCTGCAGAGCCCACATCCAAAATCATTAAGAAAAAGAAGACCAAGAGATTTCCAATGTGGAAGCAGAAAGTTAGTAAAAAACAAAGCAACCAATAAAGTGTAAACAGCTTAATTACAAAAGGCAGTGTGGAAGTGTGTGCCCTGTGTGCACTTTACCGTTGCTGGCACTTTCACTGTGCACTAGCTGAGGCAGTTTATTGTGAAAATACAATATTGTCAAGGTTGTTCCCGTGTTGCTACATGCTAGTACAAAATTTCAAGTCGGGCATGTCAGTGTTCTAAGTGCACTTGCTTTCACAGTAGAGGTTGTCAAGCAGTGATAAAGTAAGCAATCAAATGGTGTTGCAGATCCCTCTATCTATTTTGCGAATTATTCATACCGAACAAGCTTGAAGCTTTCAGTAATACTACAACACAAAAATATGGTAATAGTATAGTAGTTGCTGTTCATGCTTCATTGTGCATTTGCTGGTCAAAGCAAACCAAAAACGTACTCTAACGCTTCCATATCATACATATAGCAAAAAAAAAAATTGTGCTATCGGTGCCCACTTGTGGCAAGTTTTTTTTTCATCTACCGTAATTTGGTTTCTATTTTATCGTATAATGATGATAACTACGAGTAATGTCCGAGTATAACTACGAGTAATGTCTGCGTTGATTTCCTTCGCTTCATTATCGGTGGACTTGCATTGTTTGTTCAAACAAAAACAAGCAGGCTACCTATACATACCTCCTCCTTCGTTCATATCTGTATCGCTTCATAAATTTTGTTACTCATAAATACATCCAGTCTTCATGTTCCTGCCACTCGATTGCAGTTTTCATTGGCAAAACATACCTGTATGTTTTGAATCTAGTGAATTACTGAAGCTTAATAGCTACAGATTGATAACATGTATCTATGATAAACTCTTTTTTATGCTTATTTTCAGTTGACTAGCTTGGCTGTCAACACACATTACTCAACGTTCTTTGGGGTCATGACATACTGATACCACAGTGAAAACAAATATATATACTCACTTCATGACAAACAAGTAGGTATGATGTTCTCAAAGACTACCAATTCAAGATTAGGTCACGAGGAGAGCGTGATGATTCACAATATGGAAAGTGAAAGTGTAAAAACAGTATAACTTATTTATATGTCAATAATTACAAAGACTTCATGCTGGTTTGGGTTGTCCCAGACTTGCATGTTGGAGTAAGTGATTGCCTTCACTTCAGTGCCCTGTAACGAAAAAGAAGAAACATTTTACAAAATGACGTAAGCATGGGAACTTTTATGTGCCTTGAATCTTTGGAACACATGTTCAAAGGCAATAACAGTATATCATGTGGAGTGATGACAGGATAGCTGTGACCTATCAGAAAGTAATGCTACCAAGCACCACATACAATACATTTTGCACAAAAGTGATTTAGATTCGTCAAAGATTTAGGATTGACTGAGTCTTCTGCACCACAATGCAAATCTATCATGTAACTTACATGCTCACAGTAACAGAGCATCGTCTATAACATTTGTGCAGCATGTGCGTTGCATAATTAGCAGGTAAGGCTAATTTCACACCATTTCACAGCTGATATAACATGCAGGATTAACTCTCATAACATGCACATATAAACTAAATGTCAATAGCAAATGCAGCTTGGAATGTAAAATATGTATTTTGAAGTACACATGCCTGATCCAGCACTAGTATATGCCACACCTTGCGACACCCCCATCATACGAAGTGACCTGAATGAGAACCCTAACTCCTACAACATCGCCACTGTGGCCAAGCTCCGAGCTGAATGATGGTGTCACAGTTTCCAATGTGATTTCGCTGCGCTTGCATTGGCAGGCTTCTATGCGGCAGCTGCTCACGAGCCTGTGCCGTAACGAATGCGTGAAAGACTGCCGCGCCCACCTGCTGACAGCAAGGACATTGTGCAGCTCGCACCACATGTGAAAGAACGGGAGCAGTTGCATGAAAGTGCGCCACAGTTTTACGAGATGTTTCAAACATTGGAATGCGTTAGTTGCTCACTGCAGCTTGTCATTCTTGTAGCTCTCTCAAACTGAGACAAATCGGTCATAAAGAGACTCTAATTAATTATCTGTCACATGTGATAGCAAGTGATGGGCCGTTTTATCGCTAATAAATTTCCAGCAACATATTGCAGCTAAAAATTTTCACACCAAAATCTTTGTGTCAGTACTCCCTTTCAGCTAAGCGACAGTGTTAAGGACAGTTCATATCTGTATATACTAACTTAGTGAGCATTTTGTAAATTCAAGTTAGATGGCTATGACGCAGCTATGCACATGTCAAGAATGGATTCTTACTTGAGGGTGCTTTCCAAGGTCAAATACTTCACCATATCTGTAAAGGGCAAGGCAAGAGAGACCACACTAGAATTAAATCTTGAAACATGCATGCATTGACTAATCACCTCTGACTATGACACCACTAATGAACACTTTCAAAGGGATATCTAGATTCCATTGCCTGTGCATAAAATGATACTTACACTCTGGCCTTTATCCTAAAAGCATCCTTGTCAAATTCAAGAATCTTGACTTTCTGCGAGTGAGAAATGTAGAACTATTACTACTAAGCACACTAATGATGCTAGGTAAACCAGATAAATTATATCAATACTTCATTAGAATACTAAGAGGAATACTCACTCTTCCAATCAAGAATGGCTCTGCACTGAAGACAAAGAGCAGCTCATCTAAAAAGTGATACAGCAGGCCAACCATATCTTCAGCTGCAATAAACAAATGGTTTTACAATTATGCATAAAATTAACTAAAAGACAAGTATAGCCATTACATGGCAATTCTGTAACAATTTTCAATGCTTGCTGAGTGTTATTTTATTTAATTCTACGAATGCAGCTTCTGTCTTGCAGTGATATGCAGCCATTACAACCACTGCAAACTGAGCTGTTACTCTGTCTGGGGCACATAGATGTGACCAGACAATAGATCACTTGGTGAATAGGTTCAGCATATTATAATTATTTTGCACAAGCAGGTAACAATGAAAGCACCATTACCTATATCGTCTTTTACCACATCTGCTAGCGTATTTCTGCTCTACAGGTATGACACAGTTTGAAAGTACCGTGCCACATTGGCATTCACAATGCGCATTTAAAACACCGGGTATTCATATTTTAGTTCAGACTGAATAATGACATGAAGTGTTACTAAGGGAAACAACAGGTTAATAGAACAAGACACCCTGGCCTGTCATGTTTACGCTTTGATCTATCAGTGGAGTTTGCCAGTTCATAACTCATACCTTTTTTTTTTTCAAGTTTTATTACTTTCCATAAACAAGGTACAAAATCTAGGATATACATAGACCTGCAAATGTTTAAAAAAAAAAAAAAAACATTCTAGTCGCAGCTATTACTGCGAAAAGGTTGCGCTGCTGGAGCTATGCATGCTTTACATGTCAAGCACAAAATGTGTAAACAAAGGTTATTTGAAATTGAATTACCTAGAGGCCTCTCTTCAGCCAGACATCTTTAAAATAGGTTGAAAGCACAGTGGGTCAACAAGAAGTAAAAGGTTTGCTTTAAATTGTGTTTATCTATTCCTGGCTCAATTTAATTCCTTTATCCTGTATCTCTTTATAGTGTTATATACTCGTCATCTATAATGATGTTTGTACTGAATTTGTTTCCATATACTATGTAGCGTTCTAGAATGTCGTCTTTTCTTAATTTGATATGTAAATTTGTGCCTCATTATCTCCTGTTCATAAAATATTATACTTATTACTCTAATGTATGCAAATTGCTGTATGCCACTCATTTTGTGTTGACATAGTGTAATGACTACTGCACATCTGTGGGTGTGCTTATAGAGTACCTCTGGCAGTAATATCCTAGTAAAGCACGTCCTTCAGTCTTTTACTTCAGCATTAAAGCAATCATGTAACGTATTGTCATAAATATCTAAAAATAAATGTATGTTTCTCACATTTAAACTATAGGACAAGGCAAATTAATGCAGCTGCTACAGTATACCTTCTGCTTTTATGTCACACGTGGCATGGATGTCAACCTTGTCGAATTTCTGTCATGTAGGCAAACATTGCAACAGCTACCTGAATGGAAAACAAGAGGAACAGTTCAAGCAAAGTTCATTTTGCCAGTTATGCTGATTAATAGGAAATGTTTACCTGTTCAAAGGCTTCTGCCAGGTCATCACCCCCTAAAAAAAACTTGTTAAGTAAAAATGGGATCAATGTTTGGTAAACTTTTTTTGCCTTGACAATACCGTACCTGTTTTCTTCCATATAATACAATATCCTATACAACAAGTATTGAATTGTGGCACTGCATTAGGTACTCGCAAAGCACTTTGTTTATTCTGTCACATAGCTACATCAAAATACAAAGCAGCAAAATGCATAATGATAGTTGAAACAAAACTTTATATAAAGAAATGTAACATGAAACAAGTTCTAAGTGAACCCTTTGTCCTCATTTCACTCTCTTTAACAGTGGTGTCGCTGGTTATAACAAAAATGCAACATGTTTTTCTGATGATGCCTTTAACTCACCAGATGATTATTTCCTAACAGAGTAAGGGCACTGAAAATTATAAGAAACCTGCACAACATATGTTTCCCCAGCAATTCGCACATAAGGCAGCTGGAATTAAAAAAAAAAATCATGCTGAACTAGTAAGCAAAGGAATCTGTTTTGGTGCTTTGGAATAAACAAATGTACAAGCATATACCACAGTGTACTTGTGTGACAGTACTTCTACTTTGGATCCTATGACATATTCAGTTCATTTTATGACTACCGAAATCTTCAATGCTTTTATTTATGCAACACTGAATATATTCTAGCCTTTTCCAGTTGCTTACGAGAAAGGGCCGTCAAGGTCTGCTTAATGCACACTTTTTGCTTCATGATTCATAAACACTTACTTTCATCTTCAACTTCTGCAATTAGCTTTAGCTAGGTATAGATACAGAAATATTTTGGAAAACCCCACAGGTACCATTTAATTTTTTTTAAAACAACTGCCCAGCATTTTAAAAACATTATCATAGCTGGTGGTTAAAAAAAAAAAACTAAAGTTATAACTTGGCCTGAAGCTTCAGAGA